TGGTATTACGCCATGAGCGTGGGGGTGTCATCAGGGACGTTGCTTTATCAGGAAAATGACGACGGTTAATGGGGATCTTTAGAGTATGTTATGTCATAAATGTGTGGTGTCACGAGAGTAGGTGTATATGCATACGTCACTAGCTTCGTGGTATCGCAGGGTAGCTGTGTACGTCACTAGATTTGTTGTGTCAACAGAGCGATGATTCCATTTTGCTAGTTGTAACGACGACAAAGTCGATATCTGTACCTCACATTGATTTGTTACTCCTACAATGACGAAATGACAGATTGGTTTGGTTTTATTTTGTTTGGCTTCCTTTTAACAGATAGATCATTTACAAAAACCACACATTGACATGGTTACAAATCATTTAATTACAATGTACAGGAACAACGTATAACACAATGAACACAACCAACATGACATTTACATGTAAGATGAAACATTTCGAGTAAATTACGTTTGTTCATAATATTTAAAAGCTATCTGTATGAACAGACCTGGAACAGACGTATCTGTCTGTATATCTTAAAGTCAATTGGGTGGGCAGCGATACCGCATAATTAGCATTACCGTAAAATCAATAAAATACAGACTATCGCCTGATGTGTTTACTTACAGCTCACGAGGGAAGTTTACTTAAACATGAACTGTATAGATAAGCTATAGACTGTAAGCTGTACATCACATGTTCTTGTTTGAGTCGATTGTTTCGCCCCGTTCCTGCTAAATTCAAAAAAAAACATCTTTATATGTTACAAGCAGGACAATACACGAATGTACATGTACATACATTTATGATATTAGCTCAAGGTCGATATTAAGAAGAAAAAGAGAGGTGCGTCAATCGGTTCCAAGAACTTGCACAGAACTAACGTATAAAATACAAGGATAACAAGAGTTCCTTCTAAAATCTTCAAATTAATATTTCTTAAACTTCGTTGGACAGTAATACATTTGCAATTGTCAACAGGGAGTATATCTCCTAACATCTGATCTTTTATATATGTAACATAAGTAGCCGTTTTTTCTTTCTATACATCCCAGCAAATAAAAAATTAAAATGCTTACAATCTTTGTAACTAGGGAAACAGTGTAGTGTCTGACTCTCAAATATAATAATATTTCATGATAGTCTCTGTTTTTGATATTCTTTTCAACAAGTAATTGTTTTATTCATTTCCCCCCTCTTAACCCTTTTCACCTATCGTAAGATAACGTTTTTCATACAGCGTCATGTCAGTGTATATATTTTGTAATGGGCTCATAACTTTCCTCAAAATGAATAAAGTATGGAAGTTGCTTTGTATACTCATGTCAAGAACATTGTCAATAATTATCTTTGCAGGAACGATTTGTCGAAAATATTGTTAATTTTGTCTGAAAATTAACTTTTAAATGCGGAATTTGAATGGCGCAAAGTTGCAATGAATAATGAAATTAATGAAAAAACTTACCTGTACATGCATTCCTGAAGTATCCATGTAGTGACTATTGTCGAGAAAAATGTGAGAAAATTCTTCAAATCTCGAGAATGATGACATGTATTTTGATTGGATATTTTACAATAATTCATAAAGCTAACCAGTCTTTTGATACAAGACTAGTCAAGCCATATTACCTGAGTGAGAACCTGTAGTGAATGGTGTACAGGTAAAAATCTCACTTGCTTTGCTTGCTTTTTTCTAACCTCAGTCAGCCTTGTTTCAGGGGAAATATATGCCATTGTTCTGGAGATTTGACACATTTTCTTACATTTTTCTCGACAAATGCATCTCCATGGACATCCAACCTTACTATATTTTCAAGTTTAAAAGGATTTTTTCCTAAATTGTGACTTGTATTCAGCTTGGAAAATGAACATATAAAAAGTGAGTTTTTTTAATCAGTTATGGAATATTTTTTCCGGAAATTTAGTGTGCATGTACCTCAATTATGTTTGAGAAATATTGGAGGAGGATTTTTTGTGACAGGGATTGTTTAATGCTAACGGAATGCATTTTTGAATTTGGTATACAGTTTGGTGTGGCAGCCATATTGGAATGACCTTAAGTAGAAGTAGTTCTGGTTACGGCAGAATGATCTCCCTTTGGTAAGACCAATACAACGTTATACTGTGTGGGAGTTATCTCCCTTGTATCTAAATCTACTCTCATTTCCTCTTTGACCTACAGAGTACTTGGTCTTTATCATGACAAAAAAGTCTGCTACTTTTGACAATAGAAATTGGATCGAACGAAATAAAATTATATTAAATCAACACGACAGGTTTTTTATTGGAATAATTGCTACTGTTCCTTATTTCTACAAAGATCTGAAAATAATAAGAAAATAAATTAATCGCAAACTTCATATTTTTTGTTTTTAGGAAAATATTTAAATTAAAACTACTGTTTCAGACACGCCTTCCTGAGTATATTATTAGTATGAAACATAGTGCCGCTATTTGTCATATAAGAAAACAAGAGATGCTTTAAAATTTTAGATCTTCGTCATTGAAAATATGAGATGATCAGATTGTATTATATATATCCATTTATCACATACCTGTTGAATCTTGTTCCATGAAATACAACGTTCTGTATTACACGTGTGCTATACGGAATGTTGTATTTATCTACTAGCCGGATCTACTTTTTATGGGAATCCCCTTGTCATTGCGAACTGAAAAGTTCCCGATATTTGCAAAAAATATCAAAGTTTATAAAATCTTTGAATTGATCTCTACCAAATACGGAAGGTATATGTGATAAAAGCAAGACCACACACTTGTGTTTTTCTAACGAATCAGGAAGCACTCATTTATTGCGCGGACGTATATATACACTCGTGCTTGTATATGTATTATACTGTCAAGTATTTTAAATCATATTATTAAATACCTTTAATACAACGGATTGAAGTAAAAATAATAATAAAAAAAAATAATAGAAAACAGACGTCTGGTAGACTTCTGACTCTGATGAAACTTTAATACAGCATCTAGTAATCTGGTGGAATCGTTTTACAAATAACATATACGTCAGCTGGAATTAGTCAATCAATCAAATAGTGTAAATGTTATTGTATTTTCGATACAACTGAATGTCTTTGAAAGTGTGTTTTTTCAAACCAAAATAACGTAGGTACATTTGTACGAAAGTACAAAGGAAAACAACTCCTGATGAAGTATTTATAGTAACAGGTTGATGTCGCTGTTGGTGGATTGACTGAAAGTTCATGGTAATTAGTTGGGGGCACTTGAATAGATTTGAGGATGGTCGGTACAGGACACTTACATGTAGTTGAGGGCCATGACGTGAAGTTGAGGATGGGTATGCGTAATATGACATCATATCATCGATATGTGAGTATGGCAAATACATCATTTCTATAAACACAACTAAAATAAAATACAACACATACATGTATCTTATTTAAATAACATAACTCACTTGACATCCACGTTAAGATCAATGCTTTATATCTCAATAAACTTCTGTTCACACTTTTGTTGGCGATAGATTGGTGAGTTATCTCCTCCTTATTTCAATAAGAAATAAGTCGTGTATACCATCTATCCCTCAACCCTTTGTTTCCGACAACCAACTGTTACACTATAAAGGCTGATTTCTTGTGTTGGGTATGGCGTCAAATCCTAGTCATGTCCCGTCCTGTCCTTTTAGTGCTATCACAGCTGACCTAATATCGCTGACTGCGGAGTTTTTCTGCATGAATACTTTGTATTCTGAGTTAATACATGAACTATAAGATTGATATTTATAGTTATGGTCATACTTTGTAATGGTTGATTTCAGTGTGTACATACATAAATAACACTTATATTACGAATCCTATTTTCAGCAAACCATCTTGTTCCTGGGACGAGATTAGCTATACGCAGATGACTCTAATAAGACCTTCGAGTCTATATCGTTATCCTGCACTTTCCGTGCTCTATAACGTTGGCTGCAGACTGTGCTGCGATCTAAATGTATGGCTGTGATCATGTATGTCTGTGACAAAATAATGTATGTCAGTGACATAACAATGTATGTCTGTGACAAAATAATGTATGGCTGTGACAAAATAATGTATGTCTGTGACATAACAATGTATGTATGTGACATAATAATGTATGTCTGTGACAAAATAATGTATGTATGTGACTTACCAAATTTATGGTTGTTACAGACTAAATGAATGTGACATGAAATGGAAGATTGTGATTTGAAGAGTTAACACGTAAATACACTGGGGTGCTTATGTCTCAACTCTAATTATATATATATAGCTACCCGAGATAACCATCTGAAAGATGGATTCCCTTGGGTTTTCGTCCACATTTCAATATTAAATGATTAGATATCATTTTATTTCCGGAAAGCACCACCATTGAAGGTAAAATCTAAAGAAATGGAATACAGAAGTGATTCTTACCAGAAATGGAGACTCACCATAATTATTACATGCAGCTGTAAAATAGTTGAAACAAGCGAAATAAGTTAAGAACCTATAAACTTACACTAATCAATGGAAAGTAAAAGTTGTTTGGAGGTTTAACTGTAACGTTCGTTTACTGTATATTTAAGATCACGAATAAGATGTTAATTTCCAAATACATGTAAGTTTTGTCTACCTGTTTAGGACTTCGACAATTGTGATATTTTTGGCGAAGTTTTATAGGCAACGTGGTTTGTTTTTGATTTCCATGGCAATTTTGCAGATGACGTTCTGTTGCCGTATGTTCGTATCTTGGCATACCAATTAATATACCCGGTTTGTTGTACATACTAAGCACAAAATCTGACCAGAGCAGTTTGAGAGAATGTAAATGAAAAACAACCGAACGATTCCACTGACCTTCAATGTAACATATGTCTCACTAGTTTCGTATATAAGGTGATCATTGTGTAAATTCATGGCCACTATGTTTTCGGCGTAGGCGTGAGGCAACAGAAGATGTAAGTTTCACGAGCTTTAGTCTTTACGTTGACAAAAGACAACACAACTATTCATTGTCGAAGAAATGTTTATTTGAGTAGGTTGATGTATGCGGATTGCATTTTTAGCGTGCTTGGATAAGTCACATGAACGAACTGTTATAAATTAAGTGTTTAAATTAAACTACTGTCGTATTTCACATTCGGGTCCACCCTAGCAACAACAATGGCGTCTCTAGCCGAAACTCTAAAAATAATGTGATTTCCTTTGGCCCATAATACATGTCTGCATTGAACAGAACCTCTATCACACTTCATGCTGTTTATATGGCTCAATTGCTTAATGGAAGAATTAAACGGTATGGTTGAAAATGTGAATTTCGACTGTACATGTCGAGGCAAGGTAAAAAAACAACAACTGAGAACCCTTTGATTTGAAATTAGACCCGTTATCTATCTCACAAAACAACTGATTATCTTGTACTCCGTCGAAATCGAATATCTTAAAGCTACCGAAATGCAACAAGATTGCACTATGATATTATACCGTCCGTATGATCTAAGTGTCCGTTTTGATGCATTACAGCAAGAAACGCTTATCAATAATGCTAAGAAATACGAATAACAACGTGAATCCATCTTTAACAATTACAATTGTACAAACACGTTACGAAACACTTTACTGTAATAATATTCGAACTAATCATGAGTCTGATACATGTTCCTACACGTCAAAAGTACGAAAACAAAACAGTGAAGTGGACTAGTTACAAACAAGGTAAACTAATCACCAGCAATTTGGATTAGTTACAAGAAAGGTCAACTAACCACAAGTAAGGTTGACTTGTTACAATAAAGGTCAACTAACCACAAGTTAGGTGAACTTGTTACAAGAAAGGTCAACTAACCACAAGTAAGGTGGACTTGTTACAATAAAGGTAAAATAACCACAAGTAAGGCGGACTTGTTACAATAAAGGCTAACTAACCACAAGTAAGGGGGATTTGTTACAAGAAAGGTCAACTAACCACAAGTAAGGTGGATTTGTTACAATAAAGGTCAAATAACCACAAGTAAGGTGGACTTGTTACAATAAAGGTCAACTAACCACAAGTAAGGTGGATTTGTTACAAGAAAGGTCAACTTACCACAAGTAAGGTGGACTGTTACAATAAAGGTCAACTAACCACAAGTATGGTGGATTTGTTACAAGAAAGGTCAACTAACCACAAGTAAGGTGGATTTGTTACAAGAAAGGTCAACTTACCACAAGTAAGGTGGATTTGTTACAAGAAAGGTCAACTAACCACAAGTAAGGTTCAATTAATGGTCACAATTCGGTGAACTCGCCAGCGATGTTAGATGGACTTATTACAAATCAGTTGAACTAGTAACAACGAAATTTGACTTGTCATAAGAATGACGAACTCGTCACAAGGTTGACCTTGTCATAAGTACTACAGTTAAGTGGGCTAGTCATACATAAGGTGAATTCATCACAAGTCATCTGGACTAGTCACAGGTCATGTGAACTAATCAGTGAAGTAAAGTGGATTTGTCATAAATAAGATGAGCTTGTCAAAAGGCAGGTGAACTATAGTCACAAGTAGATGGTCTTGCTACAAGTAAGGTGAACTAGTCACAAGTACGTTGAATTAGTCACAAATAAGATGAACTTGTCACAAGTATTTTGAACTAGTCACAAGTACCTTGAACTAGTCGCAAGTAAGATTGGCCTGTCACAACTTGAAATAAAGGAAGACAATTGAGGAGGATTGGTCAATGAAATAAGGTGAGCTAGTCACACATGAAATGAACTAGTCACAAGTAAAGTGAACTAGTCACAAGTAAAGTGAACTAGTCACAAGTGAGTTGGGCCAATCAAAATAAAGGAAGACAAATGAGGAGGACTGTCCAGTGAAATAAGGCGATATAGTCACACATAAAATGAACTAGTCACAAGTAAAGTGAAATAGTCACAAGTAAGTTGAAAGTGAAACAAATAAAATGATGGTCGACTTATATAAAGTACGGTGGATTAAATGAATCATCACATCAACAAAATGTCTTTACACAACGAAACGCGTAAACAATATCAACATGTAAACAATATCAACATGTAAACAATATCAACATGTAGCTTTGCCTCCGTTGCGGTTCAATGGTTGGCTGCCCACTCAGTATCTTTCGTTACAACAAAGAGATCTCTGCCAACCTTTGCGGTTGTTTTTTTTTAAGACATCCAATATACTGTCAGCAGACGACATTACGGGTCAGTGATGAGAGAAGCGTTTCCTCGATGCTTCCTCAAAATGCTGTTGTAATTCTGTCTACAAGTAATACACAAGAATCATAGTCACAAAAGCATCATTTAGACGCCGGTACGTTCTTTCGGAACTCTCCTGGTCTGTTTCCGTTTCCGACCGGTCGGTACTGAGCCACCACTACACACTTGTCCTTGTCCTTGACCTTGGCCACGCCCACTCCGACATCGGTCGAAGACTTCCAAATCATCTGGGTAAAGTTCATGGTGGCTGGAAGGTAAACATATCTATGTAAGTGGTTATATTAAGGAACAGCTGAACGAAGCAGAGATAGTACTTGTCCCTGTCAAGATGTCACTATTGCAGTGTATATAATGAACAACGTAGAAGCATGTTGACCATTAACAGGAAACTAGTGGTGAAAAAGACATTAGTTCGCAAAAAGACTTGATATTCTACAAACATAACACTACGTCCAAACTCTACAGCAATTAATGTGTAAATGAAATCCATTTTTGTGTGTAGTTGTTTCAGTTGACGAAGCTTCTGATAGCGTTATCTTTTCAAATTGCCCACGTAATGAGCTCGATTTAATTAACAATTTCGGTGATCCTACTTTTATCTGAGTAATATCCAGATATCAAAGAAAGATTTTGCTACAGATTTACCTTCCTTATATTGAGTTTCTCTAGTGTCCTCTCAAACAACCTTTATTTTAGAATCTACTTCATCAGCCACTAATCAACTTACCAATAACAGTTAAAACGGACTCCAAACTTTGTGATACTGCCTATTCATATGGTGGGATCAATCAAAAGTGGATTTTAAGAAAATGTTAAGACCTCTGGTAAGCTTCTCCACACAGTCTATCGCAATTCCCCCTGGTAAACTTATATCACGTCTCAAAGATGTGCAACAATGGTCAGCTCACTACGAAGCTTTACAACAGACGTGACTTCATCTGCCTCAATATGATTAACGTTAGTTCTGAGAAGTAATATACCAACTTCCGGTGAGTCGCTACTCGAGTTAATGTTTTATAGATAACGTATCGGGACTTTGTGCTAACCAAAATTACGCAACCAGGGTTTTCTTTCGAAAAAGATTCAAACTACGCTGAGGTAAGGTCGTCATGGTTTCAAATTGCGAGATACCAATGTCGATCACACAAAGCCCTGCATAGAGCCAATGGTCGTTGGTGACCTATAAAACCTTCCTGCATTTGACGGGATACATCACGACGAGCACCACATGTGGTGCATGGGGCTTGGGGGTAAGAGTGGAGTCCGATTTTAGTTGTACTTTTTTTTGTTGTACATTGTACTTGTGTCCTGATGATGAGGTTTATTTTACTTTAGTTGGACATCTCAATATTTCGGATGCCACGACGGACATATGTATATTACCTTTTCGCCACTTTGGGTCATTGAACTCGAATTGGTCCCTTTCATTGTACCACAATTTTGACACGTCACCGCCGTCCAGTTCCAAACCATTGGTGTCAAGGAGAGCGATGCTCTCTCCTCTCCCTGAAAGAGTTTTTTTAAAAAGAAAGTTCAATTACGCAATGTTTTCAGTATTTTCTACGGTGATGCAACTGTACCTGAAAGCAGATTGACTCAAACAACACGATTCTGGTAAAAGAAAAATTTGTATTTTAGGTTCATGTAACTTATTTGGAATAACCTTCCCACATGTACTGACCAACTGACCTGTCCGATTGTTTCATTACTTGTGCTATTCTTAATGTCTGTCCCTACTCATCATCGCTCAACCTACCGTATATTAGTATATGTACATACCAGGTAGTTCACTGTATTGTGTGAACCCTTTTTCTGCGATAATGTCTGCCCACATCTGCGCATCACGTGTCAAGTCGTCTACTTCCGCTAGCTTCGGGCTACCATGGTAACCTCTCAATGCATTGTGGGCATCAATTAACTGTCTTCGGAAAACTCTGTTTTCTACAAAAATAAAACATTAAACAGATGCGTTTTTAGAATGATATAAGAGGAACCACATGATCCGGAAATCAATTGTTTACTCTAAATACAATTCTTTCTGAAAGATCTTTCGTTACTGCCAGCTACAATTTTGCTCAATACTCTCTGCGCGGCTCCGACCGACATCAACGCCATCATGATGTATCCAATCGGCCTAGCAGACAAAGCTCCCCAGACCATCATATGGAATTGATTTGTTTAATCACAGCATTCTGTTACAATCCTGATTTATTCCTACACCCTTCATTAGTGCCCACCACCTCTAACGCCTCTCAATTTGTCGTAATCCCATCCACTATGACGGCGTGTCAGTGCCAACAAAGCGCTGTCGCATAGGGATTACTGCATATGTACATGTAAACTGTTCACAGGTCTCGTTGCTTACGTTTATTATTACCATTTCACTAAAACCTATCCTACAAGATATACTGCTAGTTCGTGTGTAATGGACGAAACCTAACCTCTCGTACTTTAAACATGACATCAGCGCAAGTTGCAGAAAAAAATTCAAATGTATACATCACACTAGGGTTTCGTTAGGTGTGATATATTAACTGCGCACTATCAGTCATGAATACATAGTACTTTAAATCTCATATTGTAAATACAATGGACAGCGAACGACCATTATTGGTAGGTTCCGAACATCGACACAGTATACACTAGTCAAGTATATTTTGAAGGTTATCTATCAACAAAGATGACAGGGGTAGTGAATTACCATCATCTATTGACAACATTGTAAGTGTAACCCCTGACCCCGTATACATGACAACATTGTAAGGGTAACCCATGACCTTGTATCCATTGACAACATTGTAAGTGTAACCCGTGATCTTGTATCCATTGACAACATTGTAAGTGTAACCCGTGACCTTATATCCATTGACAACATTATAAGTGTAACCCGTGACCTTGTATACATAGACAGCATTGTCAGTGTAGCTCGTGACCTTGTATACATAGAAAACATTGTCAGTGTAGCTCGTGACCTGGTATACATAGACAACATTGTAAGTGTAACCCGTGACCTTGTTTCCATTGACAACATTGTCAGTGTAATCTTGACCTTGTATCCATTGACAACTTTGTCAGTGTAACCCGTGACCTTGTATCCATTGACAACATTGTCAGTGCAACCCACGACCTTGTATCCATTGACAACATTGTCAGTGTAATCTTGACCTTGTATTCATTGACAACATTGTCGGTGTAGTCCGTGACCTTGTATCCTTTGACAACATTGTCAGCGTAACACATGACCTTGTATCCAATGTCAACATTGTCAGTGTAACCCGTGACCTTGTATCCGTAGACAACATTGTCAGTGTAGCCCGTGACCTTGTATCCATTGACAAAATTGTCAGTGCAACCCACGACCTTGTATCCATTGCCAACTTTGTCAGTGTAACCCGTGACCTTGTATCCATTGACAACATTGTTAGTGTAGCTCGTGACCTTGTATCCATTGACAACATTGTAAGTGTAGCCCGTGACCTTGTATCCATTGACAACATTGTCAGTGTAACATTGACCTTGTATCTATCGACAACAGTGTCAGTGTAGCCCTAGACCGTGTATACATAGACAACATTGTAAGTGTAACCCGTGACCGTGTATCCATTGACAACTTTGTCAGTGTAACCCGTGACCTTGTATCCGTAGACAACATTGTCAGTGGAGCCCGTGACCTTGTATCCATTGACAATATTGTAAGTGTAACCCGTGACCGTGTATCCATTGACAACTTTGTCAGTGTAACCCGTGACCTTGTATCCATTGACAACATTGTAAGTGTAGCTCGTGACCTTGTATCCATTGACAACATTGAAAGTGTAGACCGTGACCTTGTATCCATTGACAACATTGTAAGTGTATCCAGTGACCTTGTATCTATATACAACATTGTCAGTGTAGCCCGTGACCTTGTATCCATTGACAATATTGTAAGTGTAACCCGTGACCGTGTATCCATTGACAACTTTGTCAGTGTAACATTGACCTTGTATCTATCGACAACAGTGTCAGTGTAGCCCTAGACCGTGTATACATAGACAACATTGTCAGTGTAGCTCGTGACCTTGTATACATAGACAACATTGTAAGTGTAACCCGTGAACTTGTTTCCATTGACAACATTGTCGGTGTAGTCCGTGACCTTGTATCCATTGACAACATTGTAAGTGTAACCCGTGAACTTGTTTCCATTGACAACATTGTCGGTGTAGTCCGTGACCTTGTATCCATTGACAACATTGTCAGTGTAACACATGACCTTGTATCCATTCACAACATTGTCAGTGTAACCCGTGACCTTGTATCCATTGACAACATTGCCAATGTAACCGGCGATCTTTTATCTATTGACAACATTGTCAGTGCAACGTGTGACCTTGTATCCATTGCCAGTGTAACCCATGACCTTGTTAACATTGACAGTATTGTCAATGTAACCCGTGACCTTGTATCTATTGACAACATTTCCAGTGTAACCTGTGGCCCTCTATATATAGACAACATTGCAAGTGTAACCCGTGACCCTGTATCCATAGACATCACTTTCAGTGTAACACGTGACCTTGTATCTATTGACACGGTTTCAGTGTGACGCGTGACCTTTCATCCATAGACAACATTATCAGTATACTTACATTCATAGACGATTCGGATTATATAGTTATGGCATTTTTAAATTGTAAATAGTGACACAATGTTTGTGATAGATATCAGATAAAATACATCCTATTAAAATCTGAAGGTTACAAAATTAGCAAAGCTCTCTGGCTCCAGACGACGTGCATTTTAATTGCTGTTACAAACAGCTTGTATAACGAAAGATTCCACACACAAAAACACCGGCTGCTTTGAAGCTAAAATACAGACGGCTAATTGTTACCGCATTGTGTGTAAACTACAAGTACCCACGGGACAATAATGCCACAAGACAGACTAAATTGGACATCATCGGAAGTACTAAGGCAAAGTTGTTAAAATAGCAGTATCTCCGATCCGTGCTGTCACGATAAGATCCACAACTTTGACTCGACTGGTAATGAAACAATGAATGACGTAGTGTAAGGTCACTGGGTCGCTACACACATCTAACGTAGACTCTGTAAAACCTAGCATTTAACACTGTCAGCCAACGTCAAGGAGAGTTCGCTTTTACATGTAGTACTATAGTACAATACCAAACCTGGTACATGCAGTTGTCTGTTGCACACCAAATATCCCCTTAACACCGGACCAGAGACATCACTACAAATATATATATCTATTGTAGTGCACATAGGTCTCCTGAGTAATAACGACAGTATGGTCCACTATGCGCAATTGCGTATTACTTAAACAGACATATGGGCAAAGAAGTAATAACGAAAGTAAAGACAAAGACATTTGTCAAATTTTCAGAGCGACCGCCTCTTTTTATAGACAGAAACATGAACAATTACATATCAACAAAAAGTACAAACAAAAATCAGTAGTTACATATCAGGGATATGTTATTGTAAAGCGAACGCTACATGTGTACATTGTATCACATATATATATATATAAATTCATCTGTCTTGATGTTATAGAACTTGTTTGTTCCGCTTTATAATAGTATGCGATTTAAACAAATCCCGATATGAATTCGACATTTTTACTATAAACAAAAGTTCGATCAATAACGCAGCACGCCACATGGGAGTTGTTAGGATGATTTAAGGGCGGATATTTTGATAAACGTTAAAGAGTTATAAAAATCTTGAATCTTGATTCAGGACTTTCGGAAGATTAAGACGTCTTTTCAAAATCATTATCTCAACATCAGCAGCAGCAGCAGCAGCGAAGTGAAGCGATGAGATTGGGGATGGGGTGCCGGGTCTCGTCGGCAGGGGGAGTATTCGGTCTTTTCGTATTGCAGAGTTATCTGCTCTTGATAGCAGGTACTGTATTTAATGTTTCGTCATTTGTTTGTGAGAGTCACGTCATCATTTTTCGAGAAGACGACGTAATTTTCTCACACAAACTAATGACGTAACAATCAATATCTGCTCACAAGAGCAGATAATTCTGCAATACGATAAGACGGAATGGGGTCTCCCCCTGAAAATTTGAAAATATAGACGCAAAACCCTGCATTCTGAGTATATTTTAGCTATTTTATTTTATTTACGTAAGATATATGGTTGAAACTTTCACTTTTTTAATATTGAAAATTTTAGTTCATCTCTGCATGCAAATCTATATTCCGTCTTTGCGTATTGCAGAGTTATCTTCTCTTGGGAGCAGGTATTGATTGTTACGTCATTGGTCTGTGTGAGAAAATTACGTCGTTTTCTCAACAATTGATGACGTTACTCTCACAAACAAGTGACGTACCAATCAATACCTGCTCCAAAGAGAAGATAACTCTGCAATACGCAAAGACGGAATAGTGAACATGTAAACATGTAATATCTTCATCCAAATGGAACGTTTATAAAAAAAAAAAAAGACGTCTAGACGACCAACAGTTCGAACATTTAGTGGACAGGACAGGCTATTCATGTCTAGTAGGGATAGATCAAGCATTTTTTTCAAAGCGGAGATGGGGGATAACATTTATCTTTTACTGATAAGTGTGTATAATTTTCCGGCGCGCCGAAGGTGTGAAGCTCCCCGATTGGGTCTGGATGCATATCTGCAAAGGTAACTATTTCTTTCAACCCATGATATAAATAAATATAATACACCTTGCTCGTCGAGTCGGATTTTCTTTCCAAATGTTGATGTACTTAATATATTTTCCTGACATTGTAAAAAATAAACATACAGAAATCTTGATAGTAGATGCCAGCAATAGATATAAAATATTGTTATCACCCTGGGAACGACCATTCCCCCTCCCGAATTCCCCACTGTAACTATTAAATGAACAACATACGTTGTATTTTCTCAAGAAGTCATCAAATATTACATATACCCTACGTCAT